ATGTATGTATGTATGTATATATATATATATATATATGTACATGTATAAAAATTTATATATACATGTATATCTTGTACGCGTTGACATTGTGTTTCCAGTATTCATTCCGAGTCAAAGCAACACTCATATACTCATTTTTAATATCAATTGACCACGTATTAAGTAATGGACTGGACGAGGTGCTCAGAAATACGGGCCCAGGGTATCTGCTGCGGTCCAAGCCATTTGACAAAGACGACGGGGGTGTGGCCGCTGGTGTGGCTGTGTTGGATAGTCCTGATCTCAAGTATATAGACATTGTCTTGTAGGGTTCAAAGGTATCTTCTGGGTTATCATTTGCCGGGATGGCGATTGGACCACATATCGACGCATTAAACCAGTAGCAATTCGGGTAGTAATTTAAACATACACACGTGACTGAACGCCTCCATGCCGTATACATTGTAGTTTGGAGTTGAGACTTTGGAAACTTGTATGGCATTTTATAGTACATCACGGTGATCGCTGGCGTTACTAAAGCCGACGCATCAACTTTTCAGTTTTTTTTCAGCGCGTGATCGACGCCCATTCAGCAGACCCAAAACTAAATATACGATCCCAATAGTAGGCAAGCGCATATGAAGCCACAGTCGGTATACTGTGCTGCAATACGAATATATTGAAACGGCGTACGACAATTCTACCTCGCTGGGGAATAATGCATGGCCCAACTCTACTGCCAAATATTCCATATGCGGAGTTTTAATGAGAATCGTTTATACCATCATATATTTTACGTCTTCTTAGGAGGCCATGCTTATATACGTCCATTGTTAGTACCTCGAGCTGAAATCTAGGTGCAGCCAGAGTTGCATGTTTACCGTTATTATGGCTGTCTAATTATATTATTCGGTAAAGTAGAGCAGAAGGGAAGCACCGTGCAGTGCGCAAAATAGTATATAATTCCACGCTCGACAGCTCGTTTATGGCCATTCAACTCGAGCATATGCCGTACATGTGGCCAGATGGGAACGTATGTCCTTTCACAACTTTCTGTCAAAATTCACTCTACTTCCACGCCCGTCGTCTTGGATTTTCGAGGCTCACCATACATGACCCAGAGCGTCACACTACATACCAGTGATACTTTATATATAGAAACCATCATTCGATATGATTATATACTGGTTTGCCTGGTCGACTAATTAATCAGCGATCACAATCGAGTGCGCAGAGACATCTCTCGGTTGAACGCGAATCAGTGCCCTGCTTCTTATCGCTCCCCATGTGGGTTGCCATTTGGTCACGATGGCAACTGTGCGTACACGCAAATACGCCGCTTGGGCGAATAGACCTCGAAGTCGTCAAACTCAAACACTGGGTCCTCCTTAAGCTCGGAATAGTCCGCACAACACGGCATAGCCACCGCAATCTTGGTCACCGTGCTTGGCAACCGGTCCCAGAACTCTTGTAGTGGCGCATGGCTGTGACAAGCGATAACTACCACGGCCTCTGCAGTTGATCGTATATTGCTATCGATTTCAAAGCTTTCACTGAACTTCTTGTATACACTAATCCTAGGCCTGTATACTATAGACGCATCCATGATTGGATCGATAGAATGGTAAATCCACGTGTCTGGGAGTGCTTCATGCATGCAGCCCGCACACAGAGGTCTCTTACCATCACCCAGAACAAACACATCCACATCGCTCACATCGTCGGGATGTGTGTTGAGAACCATTTTGATGGCCCGTTCCGTACAGTCCACCATAGCCATCGACTCGGAGATCTCTTTACTATACTTGCTACCGCTCGTACACCCCTCAGTGAATAGATCCATCATCGGATCGTTCGTATCAAGTGTCTTGACTAGACTTATCATACGAGCCAGGTACATACCTGTAGGAAACGGAAAAGTGTGTCCCTGTATATCTATGTGCTTGCTCGTGTAAGTCTCTTTGAGAGCATTCTTTTGTGGTTTCTCACCGACCCTGCGCACAATTGTGTTGTGCGACGACCGTGATAACACAGGCCTACCGCTGGCATCCACTCCCAACTCAAACTTGACTGATAGATACTTACCCTTAAATTCTTGCTGATGCAGGCTCACAATGGTGTCTAGTGCGTGCTTCCAATCCGTATACTTAGCCCAGACCTTGTTATACTTGGGATCTCGCTCCATAGCCAGAACAGGGTGAATACTACTCAGCATCATCTGCAACACACCGCCAGATATACCCCTAGGTACACCCATGACAAACACCGTATCGCTTCTCAGACCTGATGGATCTAATTGAATACTACTACGCAAACCAGACGCAGGGGTGAGCTCTACATCATTAGATAGTGCCTCTGCCTTTGATGATGATAGCTCCTTCATAGTAAAATGAAATATACACAAGTGAAATCTAAGAGTCTAGGCTCTCTCTAGAGAGAGAGAGAGAGAGAAGAGAGAGAGAAAGCTAATGTTATTCCCTCTGTAGTCTGCACTTTTGTTCAATTATTTCTTGCGCCTGTGAGAACAAATACAACAAAAATATTTATATAAATACATGATGGCCAAAGGCCGTGCCGCCGGATTTCGTAAATTTACAAATTGCCACAAAAAAATTAACCCTAAAATAATATAGCCTCAAATTAACCCAAAAACACATATCCTGTTTCTTTTTCAGGGGGCTATATAAAATTACTAAAATAGCCTCAAATTAACCCTAAATAACATTGCTTCAAATTATCAATGACCCTCTAAGAGATTAAAAATATACCACAACGGACTAAAGTCCGTAGGACATCCCTAAATAACATAGCCTCAAACTAACCCTAAAAATGGCATAGCCTCAAATTAACCCTAACCATAAATTAATCCTAAAAAATGACATAGCCTCAAACTAACCCTAAAAAGTTTTTATATTGTTTTTTTATAGAAACAAAATAAAAAAGTCAATCGACGCGATCTGTGAAAACTGCCAGAATCTACAGCTGTTATTATATAAATACTCTTTTTTTCCTACATTGGTATCAAATAAAATGTATGCCGCATAACAAGACACACAATGTCACTTTGCTAAATAGACTATATCATGTCCTTTCTGGTTCGAAGTGGTCTACGATGGTCCTTGGTTGGAGTGAATCGATGCTTCTCCTCCCCTACGAAAATCCTATGTGTGTACTGTGTTTTCTAAGACATGTACAAGC